ACAGGACCGGGACACCATCACAACATGACTGGGACACAATCAAAACACGATCGGGACACCATCACAACATGACCGCGCCACCATCACATGATCGGGACACCATCAAAACATGACCGGGACACCGTCACAACACGACCGGGACACCATCAAAACATGACCGGGACACCAGCATCACATGACCCGGACGCCATCAAAACATGACCGGGACACCATCCGCCCACCAGCTCTGACGGTGACCCGACGGCGCCCGTCCGCCTATTAGTTTTGCAAGACCCCATAGCATGGCTATTGGGGAACAAATATATACCATTAAAAAGTAAGAAACGCTGAAAGAAACGGAACCAAATTCTACAAGAACTTCAACCCATTTCGCCCATACACATCACCACAACATGCAACAAGGATCAGGACTTTACTAAACTAATCCGTGACAGTTATATAGTGAAATGCACAAAGCCCATAAGCAATGAATGTGTTTCATAAGCGTATGCAGTCATGAAGGAAGGATAAAGTTTAACCAGACAAACAAGCAACAAACAATGTCTTAGCACCCCAACCAAGCACGTGCTGGAAAGGCATAGTAACAAGAAAGTTGTATGTTCTGTTTCAATCAGGGGGCCAAGCAGCGCAAGACAACAAGCGTCCAAATAGAACCACTAGGGCTTGAGTCAAGCGATCGAAACGTCAAAAGCACGACTTGGCGACTACCTGGAGACTACAGCAGAATGTGCTTAGAAATAAGAACTCTTACAGGTCTTTGAAAACCATTCGCTGAGAAAGGAAAACATACGAAACAAGACCTTTGGAATTAGAATTTGAGACCATGCGTGCTATTTTGAAGAGATGATTTGTCAATCGAAAAGAATAGATCTGTGAAGGAAGCCTGAAAAAAACAAGGCTCGCAAATTGAAAAGAGTTGAGAAGGCAGAATTTGCAAGATGTGTGCTAAGAACGCATTTGAGAAAGAAGTTGTGAGAGGGTTGGAATTTTGACCAGATTTATAGTACATGTTGGGTAAGGAACGGTTTTGACAGGATCAGCTTTGCAAAGTCTGTGCATTGTTACTCATCTTCTTTACTGGACCGTGAAATGATGGTTTTAAGACTTGAAGGATCCTCTGTCGATGTTGGTTTGCTTGAAATTCTCAAGTCTCTTTCGCCCCTAAATGTCTTCCAACAATGTGCTTCAAAGTCCGTTTCATGTCAAATTCTCGAAACCCGTCTTCACACCAAATGTGTTGAACTTGTTTTCACGCCAAGTTCCGTTGAACCTTCAAGTCCACATCCCAGACTTGTTTGGAACATGTTTGCATCATAAAAACCGCAGAACCTGAGAGCTTTTTTGAATCCCTCTTCATCGTAAAGTCGTAAAATTGTTTGAATCCCCGTCAAAGCTTTGGGTCTCGTTTGCTAGTAACATGCCAGTCCTCTTTCTTCCTGAAACCAATCTTCACAGCAAGAACCTTTGAACCCATCTTCATGCCAAACTTTTTGGAACTGTCAGTCCGTTTTAACGACCTTTGTGATAGCTTTTCTGCAGTCCCAAAACTGAACTGACAAGCTTCCTCTTCAGCCCAGGTTTTTGAACTTTCAACTAAGGAAGAAAGAGCAATTGCATTGAGGTTCCATTTTAGTTGCGTTTGTTTGTTGAGGTGTTCTATAGCATAGCATCTCTGGTTGTTTTGGCCACGGTCTCGCACCACCACAGGCTATTTGACTTAAAGGATCTTTTGTCGATGTTGGTTCGCTTGAAACTCTCAAGTCTCTTTGTTTAGCCCCTAAGTGTTTTTCAACATCTCAGCGTTACAGTCCTTTCCATGTCAACATTATCGAAACTCGTCTTGCCACCAATCTGAGGGGTTGACCAATATTCAAATATATATATATATATATTGAGTATGGTTGGAGGAATTCAAGAAATACTCAGTACTGGTACTTGTTTGAAGCCACATATGGAAACTGCTATGTGTCATTGGAAGTTGGAAGGATGTTTGATTCTATCACTTCTCTCAAGCTGAGTATTCTACCAATTTCTATGCAAGTGTTTTTGTTGTGCATTCATCAACAGCTCTTGCTACATGTCCACGATGGTGTTGGAATTCGTCCAAGAATATCTATCTAAGATCATCCCTCCAATCACCATCAATCACCTGATCCATTTGGGGCAGTGTGACAGGCCTCACCTATGCACGGGGAACCACTTCTAGACTTGGGAAAACTTTGTACCCAGGAGCAATGACTTGTTTGCCCAACGTCAGAGACCTTGGAATCTACCCAATTGGCATCTACCCAAGTCCACGAACGATGGGCCCTTGTTGCCAGGCCATTTTTGTGCTGGATCTAGTGGAACATACAACCAATGAGACAAGGGAAGCCGCGTTTACTGATGTTTTTTTGGACACACGGATGAGATTGAGGAAATTTGAGGAATAAGAAACAATATGTTTCGCAGAAAGTCCCAGATTCTTGAAGCCATACTCGTAGTCTAGCGCGGCGCTGGCTGCTACACCCGGGGCACCTGTTTAAAAACATGTTTCTTTTGGTATACCGTACCATATTCTTTTAGACAGTCCTTTCTTCCAAAATGGGTTCTTGACAGGTTCAAACAAGTACTCGGTAGGAATTTAAGATATATATAAGTATAGATACTATATAGTTTGGATAAAATGAAAGGTGCATATGCGATGATGGATGCTTTGTGTGAGTCCTTGTGTTGTTTGTTTATGGATGAGAAAATATAAAAGGTTTCGATCATTTCTTTGTTTAGTCTCGTGATATAAGCCGAATGGAAATGCATTAGATAGTAAGGCAAAAGAAACAAAGGTTGATGTTAGAAGACTAGGAGCAGGGAGGAAGGAACGGAGGAATGGAGGAAGGGAAGAAAGAAGCGAAGGAAGAAAGAGAATGAGAAAACGAAAAGGAAGGAAAATAAGGAAGGAACGAGGGAGGAAAGGAAGAAGGAAAGGATTGCATGGGATCATTACGGTATGTTTTGTTGTTTTTGTTTGGTTATTTATAGCCCTTCTGTGTATTGCTTATAGTTTTGTTGATTGTTTTTTGGATATGT